TCTCTTTTCTTTTCTTTTTAAAATTACAAATCTCTTATCTTTTCCAAATTTTTCACAGAAATCAAATTTTCAAAATTTATTTTTCGTCGATGAGTCGCGGTGCAAAATGGAATGACGCTATCGGCTCCCTTTTCAAACTGGTAAAAAAAAAAAACCTACTCTACAAAAAGTACATTCCGATCGGGTTGGTTTTATGCTTATTATTCGCTCTGAAATCGAAGTGACGAAAAAAACTTTTAAAAATATTGAGTTCGAGTTGTGAAGCGAGGTCCCTAGCCTCCCCACCCAGCGAGTGACAGATTTGTCTCATGACGCAACGCAATCCTCCTGGGACATATCATATTTCACGACCAAGAAACATGGCGATCCCGGACGTGGAAAAGGTTCAGTTTCACGACATGTCTGCGAGTGTCAACAGTTTACAAACACGTCTTGCTTTCGAGACATATTATCTGAAGCCCTTATGCGAAGTAAACTGAAAACCGTGGATAATAACTCGAGCAAGAACCGTTTTCACGACTGGATATTTGTAAGATTGTTGCTAATTTTCGAAAGGGGCATATTTTGGCTACTGTACGCTATCTCTATGATGGAAAGTGACGAGGTTTTTGTCAACGAGGAACCGAAACCTCGAAGCCCAAACTCTCCAGGAAAAAACTACAGGGAGTTCAAAACTCTAACCAGTGATCACAAAGACAGAACGCGAGCTATATCTGTGCCGCACATGCCACCAACAGCAAAAAACCCAGTGAAAGACTTCATTTCGCATTTTGTCAACAGAAAAGGCGCAAAGAAACGCGCTAGCTTAAAGCGATCTGTGACGACGGAGAATGTGACGGACGAGAAGGCTGCTGTAAGATACGTTGGCAGAGGACATTCATTTGTTTCTTGTCATCTACGAAATCCTACATGGTGCGACTGCTGTGGGGAGTTTATTTGGGGACTTTTTAAGCAATGTGTACGGTGCAAAAGTAAGTAAAAAGTTCACCATTTTTACGCTAAACCAATGCAGTTTCAACAGCCCAGACATCCTTAGTTTGTGTCACATCTGGCTGTTGTAACTGCAGAGTACATAAACTGCGTTTAAGACTGAAGGTAGAGTAGTGTAAGCTTTAAGACCGAATGCAGAGTAGTGTTAGCTTGGAAGCTTACACTATTTCAGCTTACTATTAACTTCCTATTTTCTACTTTCTAACTATTCTAACTTGCTCAAGTTTCATAGAGCAAGTATAAGCTCACATTTTAGGTCGAGAATATTATCTTTGCGGTTTCTAGGGCAGTTAAGTTAGACGTTAAGCATAAAGAGATTAGATTCATTAAGTTAACGCAATCCTATGGATAGATGTTTACTAAACAGAGTATAAAATATAAACTTGTCCAAACTTAGTTCTTCCAGTCTTGCGCCACTGTTTAACAAATTAAGTTTAATTTTTTTTTCTTGAATACACTACACTTTGGCCAGAATTGCCAATTAAGTATGTTGTTTCCACTATGTCTACATGTATAAATTATATTGGTTATGTACAGAGCACCTGACTTGAAACCCATTATAAAAGTTGTTAAATGATAGATGACCATTGAAATATATTACTGCACCTTTCAAATAACACAAACTCTGCTTAATAAATGGTTTCGTGTTTTGTTGCCGTCATTCACCTGCGTCGACATCTGAGGAAACAGAAGTTTATTTCAGTGGGTTGAAAATGTCACATAAACAGTGAGTTGTGATTGGTAGATTTTGATCCATGTTTGTTTGTATTTTTTTTGGAAGTTCCTTGGATATCATTGTAATTATGGCTGACTTGCATTGCAAAGACATGGTGGTGGGGGGGGGGTCAGGTTTGCACTTCCAAAGGGGGAATACAGGTGCACAATTAGAACTATTTGTGAAAACGTTTCAAGTGAACCAGAGTTTGTATTTGGATGTTTCTTAAGAATTCTCCATCTTCCATAAAAATTTGGATACTGCCTTCACAAGTCAGTGAGTTTTTTGGGGGTACAAAATAAGCGTTTTAGTTTTGTTTTCCTTTTCGTGGGAGTCAAACAACTTATCTGATCAACAACGTATTTTTTGCATTTTTGACTTGCTGGACTGAAAATTATCAACAGGTAAACATTTTTCAGTGAGAATGAGAAGGTGAATCTCCATAAAATAAAGGTGTGTGAAAGTTAGAGAGGGCTTTTCAAGTCAGCTGTAAAGAAAAATCAGAATTTCCTGAGTGGGGTTGACTGATTACGGAATTCCAAAGGCAAGAGGGGATTCAGCATTTTACAATTTCTGAACACTGGGAATGGAGGGGAGGTTGATGAAGATACCACCCATGGTACCAAGTATGGATATTTTCCAGAATCATCCAATGTTAAAACATGGGTCGACCTTCTGTAAGCACTGGGTAAAAAGGGAGATGATGTCATGTGTTACCATGTTCATGTTATCCTTAATGGCATTAGAGCTGGTGTCTAAATTCATCTTCCCAATGTCTGATACATGTATATGAAGATTAGTAAGCTATTGATCAGGAATAATTTAGATTTTCTTAAAGGATGCTCAATGCCTGTACTTGGATGTCAAAAAAGCAAAGATCTGCCTATGAAAATTTATGAATGATTAGTGGAGAAAAATATGTATGTCAAACATATGTCATGAATAACTGTCAAAAATGTATGATTTACAAAATAATACAGCTTTGAATTTGTGTCATGCACAAATTCAAATTAAAAAAGAATTAAAATCTTATTTAAAATTTAAAATTTTGTTTCTCAGTCAATGATTGCAAAGATTTTAAAAACGGCACCATTTTTGAGACAAGAGGGATATCAGGCAATTTGCTGTTGATATTTTACCTCTTTGCAGAATTTTATAGTTTCACAACATGCCTTTGGGATATGACTCACACATAAATATAGCGCACAGCAAAATATAAAACTTTTGTGATTACTGTCTTACTTACAACACAATGAACCACATGGATCTTCCTTGTAATTTTTGTAACTTATTGCCAAGCTGCACAATTATGTATAATGTTTTTATATCTGTGTAAGTGAAATAATTTGATAAATACCTACCAGTAAAACTGTTTGGAGTTACCAGAAGCTAGCAATATAATAACAAGAAGGTCATACAACTGATGAATCTTGAAGGCAAGCCAGAATTGTGTTGTAATGCAATGTTATCAGTTACTGCCACCTGATTGTCTTGTAGACAAAACACAGAGATTATGTGAGTATTAATGCCCTTTGCACTAGCAAAAATGAATATATCTTTAGTAGTTTTTAAAATTATGCTTTGTACAGTTTGATAGGCAGATTCATTTTGACAGTAGTCAGTTGTAACATAGTAAATAAATATAAGACTAAATTTTATAAATTACTAATAACAGAAAGAGAAATTATTATAAATTAATAGTAATTTAAAAATATTACATACTTCATAATGCCAGTACTGAATGTATAATCTTGAACATTGTGGTTTTGTAGAAAAGATCTGGTGAAAAATACAGTCATGCCCGTTGTACTATTAAATAAAATCAAGTACAAGTTCCAACAAATTTCTGTTGTAATTTAAGATGTTATAAATTAAAACCTATCAGCTTTCTTTTTATTTATCATATGACAAGCATATAATAAATTCTGGGGAGAAAAGGAATACATAAACTGTGTTTTTAATCCTTTATTTATTAATAAAATGTGTTTTGTTCAGTTGGTGAAGTCTTTGATTGGTCAATAAAGTGATCTCAAAGATTTCAATCAACATTGTGTCAAAATGCAATTCAAATTGTCTATTCAGACAGTGACAGAAATTTAAAATTTGTTCAAATATTTGACATATGATAGTTTTTTCTGTATGATGTCATGCATTAAATATAATTTCTAGTTCAGAAATGAATTCAAGCAACGTAACTTTATTGACAGTGAAGCCACTTGTTAGAAACATCATTTACCATTTCCATTTTACAAGAATTCTGACATTGTTCGTGGTACATGTAACATTTTTCTGAGGTACATTTTTCCATCTATAGTAAGTGATTAATTCTAAGGTACACTCAATCATTTTTTGTATTGGTTTTCATCATTAATGTGCTTCATTTATGTTGAATCAATCCCTTTATTTTGATAATTGAATTTTACAGTGAAGGGAACTTCAGACTTTTATCTTTCACCCTTTCAGTTGTGAAGTCAGGTTGATGTTATAGTGAATTTACAAGTAAATCCCTGGTTTATTACCATTCAGAGAAAACCTTAATGGAGCAAAACTTCACATGGTGCTATTTGCAGAATCAAATTTGAAATATTCTCTCACTTTTAAACCTGGTCTGTTAAATTTGTTTGCCGGAAAGAGAAGTGAATATTGATTTAAACATCTACATATTCAAGTTGCAGCAAAGTTAGTGTAAGTAATAATTTTACTTTCAATTTGGATGGGAACAGTCTAGCCAAACAAGATCAATTGTGATCGTTGTAAAGCAGTTCTTGATCTATTTTTCTTTTTCTATTACAGACTGCAAGTACACATGTCACCGGCGATGTAGAGATGACGTGGATTTAGACTGTACTGGTGGTTGGCAGTTTGAAAGAAATCTATCAGTCGATGAGATGACTATGAAAACACTACACCTTATAGATCAGGTAATAATATTATTATTAGTGTTGATTGGTACATGTCTTCTTTTGTCTTTGGTTATACTGAAATCATCAAGACGCTTATCAGGAATAGCCAGTGTTGAGAAATTTTGCCTCCCTGTAGACAGTTCAAGTCCAGACCACTGTCATATTTAGGTGGAGTTTGTTGTTTGTTTCCATCCTTTCTTGGAGGGATTTTTGAGGTTCTTCAGTTTACCTTCCTCTTCAAAAATTGACACTTCTAAATTTCAGTTTGATCTAGAAATGTTCAGTTGGCAAGCTGCCACTCTATCATGGATGTGTCACTGTAAATTCCATATGTATGTTATTTATTAACAGTAAAGGTCTATGATTCTACAGTGTGCCTATATGAGCATGAACTGAAGTGTTTTTGATAAATTGCAGGGTGAAAAGAGAAAAGAACCATTTATGCTTTACACAGATTCTCCAACTGGAAGTCTCCTGCGCAAGAAGATTGATGAATTCAACTCATCAACGACTGGACTGATAATGACCATGGTAAGTTACTAGTGTGTGACTCTGAATTATTATCTAATTAGAGCTTGTTGTTGGTTGGTGTTCATTTGGTACATGGTCCCAAAATACCTTTGACTCTAAAATCAGACATGTAGTGATCTGACAGCTAAAAAGTAATTGATTAGAAGCTCTCTTTAGGGATGGTTGCAATCTTTTTGTAATGATGCTGGAATCAAATCTGAATTTCAACATCAAACCATTTTCTTCCTAAGTGTAACATGAATTGAGTGTTGTGAAGGTCAGGATAAATTGGCAAAAGTCTTGGGAGAAAATTAAGATTAATGAGAGAAGAGTATGTACAACATACATGCAGCAAGACTCTCATTTGCCTCAAGCTGTAAAAAATGGTCAGGACTGATTTCATAAATCAAGTCATACACTGGCCAAGTGAGCATCTAACTTATTGGGAAAATTTTCCAAAACTTCAATGTTGCAATTAAGCAGAGAAATCATTTTACTTTTAAAAGAACTAGACTTTTGGAAAATTTCCAAATGCTTATTTACATTGACAAATAGGTTTTTTCAGAATCAGTGTTTATTTTGAAATAATTTTAGTTTATTTTGCCAATGAAAATGGACTGTGCCATTAATTAAGTAAAATTGTCAAAAGAATAAGTTTTATTTATTTATAAACTATTATCACGGATAAAGCTCGGATTTGTCACCCATATAATTGACAAGTCCTGGCCAAACTACTAAGTCCACGTATTTTAATTTTGCTTGAAATGATTTGTGATTGTAATGCAAAGTTTCTCTTCTGTCAGAGGAATGAAGATACTTACCAAGGCTTCATCCGTGTCCATATGAACCTGGTGCGTCCTATCAACATCATCGCAGGAGAGAGACCTCTGTCAATATTTGAGACAGTTGGTGTGCAGAGAGAAGAAGATCAGAAGGTCAGTGGCATTTTAATGGTAGTGAACCAACTGTGTTTGTCTAAACTCTAGATAATGTTTGTCCTATTGTGCATTTACCATTCAGTTCATTCACTAGGTAAATTGTTAAGAAAAAGAGTTCGGAATAGGGTAACAACTGTGTGATAATCATAATCATGGTTCTGTATTGCAGAGTCCACAGCGGACTTCATTTTTTCTTCCCCTTGGGACAGTAAAAGCATTACATATAACAAGTGAAACTACCGTCCATGAGGTAAGTTCCTCTCAGGTTATACTTGAAGATTTTTTGGCTTTTGTTTTTGAAATAATTAGCACAATGTGACAGATCTGGTATTACTAATAAAAATAAAATATTCTCAATACCAACATTGCCCTTAGTAATAGTAGGCCAATTCAAGGGAGGCTAGGGGCTTCTTTAATATTAAGTCTTTGTCAAGTAAATGCTATTTAATAATTCCTTTTTTTCAGAAGTCAGATATATAGTCAGTTAGGCTATTCTTTAGAGTGCAGACACCATAAACAAATTGTCTGTTTTTCCGGGTTTACATGAATTAAATTCATATGTCAAAACTTAGTTGATTTCAGATTTTTTTCTTTGTTCTTTGCCAAGCTCATTACTTTTATTCTCTGTTTTACAATGCTTGTTATTTTAATTTGTTATTACTGTGCCTTTCAATGACATGCGGACTCAAAATTCAAAGCTCAACCAACAAATGCATTTTTTGCTATCGTCAATCAAATGTTCGGCGGTTCCCCCAGCTTCCAAAGTGCTATGTGTTCTGAACTGTGCTTAACGATTTGATTTGATTACCGCATACTCGGCAGTAGTCGGAAGCTGGGAGGAGCCACCAAACATTTGATTGATGGTAGCGAAAAAGGCATTTGTCAGTTGAGCTTTGAATTTTAGAGTCTGCATGTTATTGAGAGGCACAGCAAAAATTTTGAATTTTTTTTCTTTTCTTGTCAGGTTATTGTAGCTCTCCTCAAGAAATTTAAGGTAGCTGATAATCCAAGAAAATTCGCACTGTTTGAGTGTTACCAAGAGGAAGACAAGCACAGTAAGGGAGTCGTCTGTTTTGAATTCATTTAATTGCCAGATCAGAAGTGTTGCACTATCCTAAACTACTGTATCCGTTCCATTCCCCCCCCCCAACCAACCACCTGACCCTCCTGTTGATAATGTAGTGGTAATGTGCACCAGGAGCTAGGAGCTAACACTTGAAGTTATCTGAATAGCCATCACTGTGTTGAATTTTTTTTTTCTTGCAGTGATTCTTCGTCGGATGTCTGATTTTGAGCAGCCTTTGGTTCTTAGGTTGCTTTGGGGTGGAGGCGACATCAGACATAATTTCTCACTGCAGGAGAATGAAACAGGAGACATTGTTGTAAGTGATATGCCTGGGTCATGGCAGTTTTTATGCTAAAAAGTTCTGTATAGGTGAGCTTGATCTATAGAGGTCAAGTGTGTTATATTCTAGGACAAGAAACTCAATTCTCTCAGTGCTTCCGTGGGAAAAGTTCTCTCCAACAGCAGTAAGTTATTTAACCCCCTGTTGACTAAATGAAGGCTAACGGATAGGGTCAGCTTTTTGGGAAAATGTTTGCATAATAACTAACATTTATGAATTTTGATCAGTGTCTTTGTGTTTTATTTCAGTGGGAGGTTTTCTCCATTCCAGAGCTCCAAAATTTCATGAAGATACTAGATAGAGAAGAAGAGGAACATATAACACAGGTCAGTTCCTGGATTTTCTCAAAGGCTGGTTGTTGTTTTTTTACTCTTGAGTCTTTGTTTCTCATGTTCCGTGCTAAATAGAAGTTGACTTGTCACAAGTCTAGTCTGTTCCTTTCTACTTTTGGTTTCCTTAGTCAGGCAAATCTTAATCAAGCACTGCAAAGAAAACCAATTTTCAGGCTTAACCTTTCGAGCAAGCTGTAACCATAATGTACTGGCCAGAAATATTTTTTACCAGCTCCAAAAAATCCATCTCTTAGGGCTGGTTCACACTAGTGATGGAAGCGACAGAAGCGGAGTCATAAGCGGAGTTGGAATCGGAAGAAAGTTCTGAACTAGTGTGAATCGGCACGACGGAAGCGGAATCGTAAGCCTCGCTTTCAGCGTAAGCCTCGCTTTCATTTGTAAACATTCAAGATGGCGGACCCAGGAGACAACGAGAGATTGCTGCTTTTGCTATTGCTGTATTCACTACTGCAATACATACCGGTCTGAAGTCCTACTTGTGTAGCGACATCCTCCCATGCTAGCCTTTTTTTGCTGTTGTCTTTGAAGTCCCTGCAGGACTTGTCATAAAGAATGGGGAACTGTCTCACAGCCTCTCCCGGTTTTTCCTCTAGAGCTGCCATTTTTTTTTTTTTTCTTGCTCTAAGTTTGAAAGGGACTGGTAATGAGTTTTTTGATTGGCTGATAATACCAATTCCACTTCCGATTCCATTCACCTTGTTCTCACTGGATTGGAAGCGAAAAAAAAAACTCTTCTGATCCTTCTGACTCCGATTCCGTCGAGCTTCTGACTGTGCTTCCGATTCCTCTTTTTGATTTACACTGGATCATAACGCTCCTTGCGCTTCCAATTCCGTTGCTAGTGTGAACCAGCCCTAATAGTTAATGTCTGGAATTTGTTTTTCCTTTAAAAAAGTTTCCCATAAAACTTCAAGGAAGGAATCTTCAAGCCCAACTGCAAAATCCACTAGCCCCATGACATCGGACACCACCTTCTTTGCATGCTGTTAATTTGTAATTTTTTTTTTCCCTTATGGATCTTTCCAACTTGCTGCACTTAGTTCATATTCAAGCTCTCCATTTATTGATTGTATTCATGACAGGTAGAAGAAAAGTACAGAGTTTACAAGGAAAGACTTGAGCAAGCTTTAGCACTATTAGAAGGAAAAACAGCTGTTAATTCATCTCCAGTTGAAGAGAAGCCACCTCTGGACGAGTCTAGTGAAACATCTGACCAGTAGATGCTTTATTTATATTATTCAAGATAACTAAAGCTGCAATAATAATTATTATTGTCAGTGTATGTTTTAAGATCAACTTCTTCTGTGATAGAAATTAGTTTCATATCAACTGGATATTTTCCAGGTGCCCATGTGGATCATGAAACCTTGTGTTAGTGAAATGACACAATAATATTTTATTGTAGAAATAGAAAGTGGTACATACCCTGCAAATATGAAAACAAATTTGGGAGAGTTAAAACATTTATACTAAGCCTCAGCCTGTTGTTGTGGCTTGTATATTAAGGTTTTTTAATTCACCCAAATCTTCTCTTTTCAGGGTGGGAAATGGTCGTTCAAGAAACTCTAATAAATTTAAAGTTCTAATTAATTTTTAGTCAACTTTCACAGGTTTGCTCTGTTAGAGTCTTAATTTCTATTGCAAGGCTTAGGAAGTCCCTGCTCCCTTACAAGATATTAGTCTTTCATATAATCATTACAACTTAGGCTGTAGTCTAAGAAAAAATACAAGGAGCTCAGAGGTTCCTAACCATGAAATCCTGGATTCCCATTGCTTATTCTGCTTATATGAAAAAAATAAGTTTTCCTAGTCACCCAAAGGCAAAAGTTACCCACCTGTGGCATCTTGGCACTCTAGAGCACAGCCCTGTATTAGTTTTGTATATTCTCAAATTTACAATGTACCATTAGCTACCTGTTCTTCTGTTTGTATTGGGCTTTCTGGTAGACAGTTTAAAAGCCTTTCTCCTATCTTTAAAATAAAGTCAGTTGACAAAATGCATTGATAGCAACCATCTTGAAAACCTTATGCAAAATGACTTCCAAACCTTTAGATGATTATAATTTTATTAAATGCCATAATTTTGTATTATGAAATGTACACAATACCAGAACAGCAATATAATGATAGGCAAATACTATAATAATTATTTATACTGGATAGATCTTAATAAGTTGCTAAGAAAGTATGGTAAATTTAAAATTATAATAATTTTTATAGCATTACAAATTACTTTGTGGACACTTTCGCTCTTATAGGAGGTTGACAGCAAGGATTGATAACAAAGTTTATTTGGCAATGTTACATCCTGCTCCATTTGAAGTCTGAGTAAAATTGTTGAAACTGATCGTACATGTACATCTCATTTTAATTCTTGATCTTTCATACTACTGTCTGCAGAAATTTTAATTTGCTTTTTGGTCATGTGGCTTGTGAAATTTTGACAAAAAACATAACCAGTAAGGGAAAATATTTCTTGTATTTATAGATATTGACAGTACCTGATCAATATAGTTGACCATAAAGTTGGAAAAAATATTTTTCCAGGTGTAATTTAAAGGCCTTGTCATATAACTGGATGTCAATAAGAAGGCAAAATATGTAGAGAGATGAAAATCTCCAACATTATTAAAGGTTATATCTTTGTTTTCAACATATAGAGTGGATTTCAGTTGACTGACAAAAATAGTTTAACCCATTGATGCCTGAGCCGGTTGTAACCAGCTGTGAGGAGGGTTGGCATTTGTTCCACTTCTTACATCATCACCTTTGACCAAAATTGACATCGCTTATACTCAAGTTCTGCAGGAGGAAAAGATCTTTCCAATGATACCCAGATCAGAGTTATTGGGTAAATTGAGCACAAAATATGGAGGAAAATGCTTAGAATTTTGAGTGAAAATCTAAGAGCAAAATTTCCCTCAACTACATTTGGTTACTCTGTGATAAGAATATTTCATCTTGATGATGCTTTCTAGAAAATTCTTAAACTGGAAGCAAGTTAAGTAGAAAGTCAACAAATGCAGCAAAAAGATTAAAGGAGAAAATGCAAAAGCTAAAAAACAATTAAAATAACTGAAAAGCCTAAAGACATAGGTCACTTTCTCGTCCAAAGACATTACTCAAAATTTTGATTTTTGCCCATTCCCAAGCAAAAATGTCCTAAACACAATGTCAGTGGGAAAAAAAGGCACACTGTCATGTGGCAAATGCCTTTTTGAGTAGATTGGAGCCAATTCAGATCATATCCATGATGAAAATGTCAAAAATATCAAATATATAGGCATAGCCAAGTCTAAAAGCAGAGCTCCTGATTGCAATATTTGATCTTCTTAGTTCAGAAACTCAGAAAATGATCAATTGTGAGCATGTAATTGTTCAGCGTGTGGTTTTGCTATTTTCTTGTAGTTAAATGTTAACAAACTATACCCAATAAGTGTAACCAAGATTGTAGAAATTACGTACGCACGCATCAGGGACTTTCCAAGAGACGATTGTTGCAGGGAATATGTCAGGAGAAAAGTTCACAATGCGCCAGGGGTTAATTTGCGCCAAAATTTTCCCTTTGCACCTACTCCTTCCTCCCCCGGACGAAAAACCTGACTTGAGCCTGCGATCAAATGGAAAAACCAAAAACTGGTCAGTAGTCAACTTCAAAAATAGACATGTACTCAATGAGCTCTAAACATGAGCCTGTGATATGGTCATGTGATACTGGTCAGCAGACAGCTTCTCGTGACAGTTGTCAACTATAATATGGATACCTGAAATCAAAGATGTAGAGGTGTATGGCGAATGTGCTACTCTCTTATTTTTCAAGGTATTGGCATTTGGACATACGGACAGTCACATAACCAAAATTTTTTAGATCGACAGGTTACCAAATTTACTTAACTATGGGGCTCCTCTCATGCACCTTCAGTGTGCAGGAGCTCCACTAAAAAATGTGTTTTTGCCAAAAAGCTCCAGGTGTCAAGGGAGTAGATGGCAGATATTTTGATGGCAACTCATTTTTTTGTATTATACTTTGGTTAAATACTGTTTTGACAAAATTGAGGGTCCACTTGTGGCTACTGCTAGCACATCCATGTTTTAAAAGAGTAAACTGAGCAAGAACTACAAACTTTTTGTTATACAAGTACAATGGAACTCCACCCTTTGGACACCAGCTAAACTTGAGCTTTTAGTCTAATGCTGTACAAAATAGACCTGACCACCAACCCAAGTTCACTGCTGAGAGGATATTGCAGTTAACTATGGGCAGTGCAGTGACCTAAAGGTTACCGTGCATGACTTTGGATCATTCAAGGAGTCTAAGTTCAAGCCCTGGCCAGGGTCATGAAGCTGTGTTCTCGAGCAAGACACTCACACTAAGGTAAAAGTAAAGTCTGCATATGAGTCAAGTGGCACAATAGGCCAGAGCTTATCCCAGGTTCTGTAGCATGAGACAACCAGGAATATTTTTACTCCCTGGATGGGACGCTAGTCCATCACAGGGTTACCCCCAGCATTAAATTCACCAGTACCAGAAGCTTATCACCTGCCTCTGACGGTACCCATTTGTACTCTTTAGTAAAGAGAGGCACTGAGAATAAAGAGTCTTGCCCAAGAACACAACACAATGTCCCTGGCCAGGTCTTGAACCTGCACTGCTCAATCCGGAATTGAGCGCACTAATCATGAAGCCACTGCACCTACATTTAGGAGCAAGAGTACCAGCAAAATGTTGGCAGGTAACCTGACAGACCTGTGAAGGACTTGCATTCATCCAGGGTGTACTGTACTTCTAGTGGCTTCACGTCACAGAATCTAAAGTTAAGCACCAAGATTTAAAAGCTAGTTGGGTTAAAATGCTTTTAATTACTCTTTTTACCCTATATTACAATTGTAACTGTAAAATTAATCTTGTTTTATTTCCCATTGATGACAGTCTAAATACTGGTCAGCAAGACAAAAATTCACGCTTAGAACATTTGATGTAACAAGCCTGCTGGTCATTGGACGTGAGAAGTTACCTATTTAATTTTCCTCATTTACTGCATACCAGAGCCAACCAGGCCCAGGCAACAAGGATATCACAGGATATCACATGCACCCTTAAGGCATGTTAATCTGATGGAGATGAGCTTGAAGCACAAGGTTAAACTGCTTTCCGATACAACTTTGCAAGAGTTCAAAACAGTTCACATAAATTAAAGAACGGTAAGGCAAGAGTTCTTAGCATTCTTCACGAGAGTGAATAGAACTGATGTGACGCAAGCTGTTTTGACTGGCCCTGCTTTCAAAATGGTTGGCCCAGACATGCCTGGCTCATTAAATCCATGTGGTTTACGTTTCTTTCATTATTACATGCGATTCTTCTCAATGAATGACATTAACAGTGATTGTCTTCTGATAAAATCCACAGGCTGGGTCTCAATATCATGGTGTTATTACTCTAGTAACATGTCTCGCACATAACCACAGGAAAATCAACATGAAGTCTTGGATGTGGCAAGTCCACCAGTCCTTGAGGTAGCAACCGACGGGTCACTTTCTTCATGAAGAATTTCTTGCCTTTCTTGCTGGGCTTCACTTCTTCGTAAAATTCATGGGCTAAGTCGCCATCTTCATCAAAGTACATGGAGCTGTAGAAAAAAATAACGCGAAAATCTGAGGTCGGCGAGTGTTGAGCTTGCAAGTAAGCTTACTAGCATCACACAAAGTTACTAGCATCACACAAAGATGATCATACTTCACTTTCATCTACTACCGCAGTCCAAATATGAATTATTTCATATATAGTTCACACAAAGTTAACACTCGCGAATAAACTGTCCAAAAATAAGCTGTTTCGTGTGGGTACAAAAGCTGTTTCATTAAAATACTGGTATAAGCAAGACATGATAAGTACACGTTAATCTTTCTTTACATGAATAAGAACTACTGATAAGGAATTGTGACGCACTTCACCGACCAAAGAAGGCAAAGATCGTTCCATCTTTTGTACATTTAATTTATTTAATAAATCAAACTCAGTTTAACATAGCTTATTTGTAAGCTTTTTCCATTCCAAAAGCAAATAGCACGTGAACTGTTTGCAAAAATATAGAGAAAAGTGTTCACTTTTGATCTATTTTAAATAGCAATTTATGAGATCGCATTCCGAATTTTACTCACCGATTCGTGTCGGAAAAAAAAAAATTATTCATTTGCTGTGACCTGACACAGCGCAAAAACAGTTTTCAATTTCGTTAATCACAAAATCACGCTAGGAATCCAAAACACCTCGAAGAAAAGAAACAAAGCTCCAAATGATACGACAGAAAGACGAAATAAGCTGAAATACCTTGTACGTTTCCAAACAAATGGCGTCGCAGATTTTAATGAGCCGCCATTTTCAAGGCCTCTTTGATTTTCTCCTCCACAGCTCAGCATGTACTGAAACCCGCCATACATATTAGAAACGACTGATCCCATCCTGCTATCTTGATGTTAAGACATCTACTGGAAAACAAGCCATTAGCACAGACACTAATTTCGATTCAAAACACAGCAATGTCTTTCGATTCAGTCAATCCCGAATGGCGGTCATTGGAGAAGGACTGGAACTAGGGACATTTTTTAGCAGGGCCGAGGGGCCCACGTTCAGAACTCGGCTCCTAGACTGCGCGCAGTAGGTTTTTGTGTCCTGAAAACTTGGAGCCTTGAAAAAAAGCGGATTTCCTTCAAAACCGAAAAACGGCCATAAAATCTACCGAACATATCAATCCACCAAACTCAATACAGCAGCGAAAGACGTACACTTTTACTTTTTTGAGGGATCAAGACATTTTCATTTGAAATCACTCATTTGACAATGAGAATTAAACTTCATGCAGAACAGACCAGAACACATCTGGACCAAATTTAGTTGCAATCGATGCAATGCTGGACTTGCTTGGAGCAACAATTATCAAGAACAGGCAAGACGCAGTCCATTGTTGTTAATCTGATTTGCGTCATCTCAGTGCTAAAAGGAAAAAAAAAAAAAGACTGAAAACCGTGAAAAAAAAAAATAGCAAAACCTAAAAACCAGAAATTTTTAAGTGCAAAAACCGAAACACCGATCTGAAAATGATTCAAAGCCGTAAAACCACAACTCCCAAAATCGAGAATGGACAGTGACGGGGTTGACTTATTTTGAACATTTCCTTAGTTTCTACTGAAACTTGACGAAATCGTTCAAAACTCTTTTAGCTGACTGTCCTTTTGGAGCAAAAATTTTCTCTACGCACACCCC